CTGGAGAGGATCGCGGGCGTTTGCGAGCATACACATCTCCAGTGACAAGAGTGGTCAAGAGTTCCTTTTTATGCAAAAACTATCATTTTTTCGTAAAAATCGTAAATTCAGTTAACTAGGTCTAACTATCAAAAGGTATTTTGGTTTCTGTGCTGTTTCATCTGGAGGTTTTAATTTTGCCTTAATCGTTTGCTTCCATGACCTGAAAACCTCTCGTAAATTATCCTTTGTTAAATTAACATTCGATTGACGTGAAAATAAATGAACCAAGGGGAAGCGCAACATTCAAGAGGAAAGTTCTGTTTCTGTGATGTTCACATTTTGAACTGCTCTTTGTTTTATTTTCCCATTCAATTTATAAGGAGGACCAAAGAAACGGATCAACATTAAACGATTGCATGCATGTTTGTCGGCTCTGAAACAATCGTTCTTAATTTAGTGGTAATGGTTTCATCGATTTCTTTGCCACAATTAACACTTTAACTGGATTGATATCATAAATTATTTTCAAAGGTACCGACCGTCTGAAAGATCGATTAAAAATTCGCTAGGAGTTGAAGTCGTCAACCACCTTCCTAATTTAGACAATTTTCAAATTGAAGCATTCGTTCATCTAACATGAAGTATTTTTAATTACTCAATCAGCCGTCCGGTATTAAGATTGGTGGCGAGTAAGACCATTTACTTATCATAAGATGTTCCCCATTTATGTGAATGAGAAAACTAGAAGCATAGAAAGATCATTTTGTTTGAAATTCAATTTCTGCACAATATCGATTACCATCAGGTGTTGTTTCCTATTTTTTCGCAGGAGTTTTCATCGCTTTTTAGCAATGGTTTCATTTGAGATCAAGGCGGCCTTCATGCATATCGTCTGGTCAGTTGAGATTCAAACTCATGTGACACTTTTTATTTAACTCCCACAACTAAATACCTTGAATCGTTTCCATTAATCAGTCAGAATTTTAACATATCTCACGATGTTTATGTTATTCTTGTGGTGGAAACTGTAGAAGTTCATTGCCAATTAGTACTGTATACAAATAAGAGTTGGGAAAAGGATCTGCTATATTGTAATCCGCATCAACCGAACCGCTATTTGACTTTTTCAGTTTCTACTGGAAAATGAATTACTCCTGACAATAATGATGCCTTTATTGAAAATATTTTAAAAATGTAACGCCTATTTGTTAAGGAAAGAAAAAAAGATGTGAAAGGTTCTTGGAAATCGGTTCCTTCAGCGGTTTA